GCGTGGTTTTTTCGTGTGTGATTTTCGAGCGTGCGTCTTTCTCTCTCTTGCAGAACACGGGAGCCGTGAGCGTGTTCGTTGACTTTGAGAAGAGCCGAGGAAACTACATGGTCGACGTGGACGGCAACGAGATGCTTGATCTCTTCACACAGATCTCCTCCCTCCCTCTCGGTGAGTGACAGACCTTCCTTCCTTCACACAGATCTCCTCCCTCCCTCTCGGTGAGTGACAGACCTTCCTTCCTTCACACAGATCTCCTCCCTCTCTCTCGGTGAGTGACAGATCTTCCTTCCTTCACACAGATCTCCTCCCTCCCTCTCGGTGAGTGACAGTCCTTCCTTCCTTCACACAGATTTCCTCCCTCCCTCTCGGTGAGTGACAGACCTTCCTTCCTTCCTCTCGGTTGGAGATACGCATACCTCCTTTCTTCACTTCCTCTCAGTGAGTGACAGACCTTCCTCCCTTCACACAGATCTCTTCCCTTCCTCTCAGTGAGTAACAGACCTCCTCCCTCCCTCTCAGCGAATGACGCCCAATCCTCCTCCCTTCTTCTCGGTGAGTAACAGTGGCTGCGTGAGGTTTCTCCCTTATTGGTCCCTCCCCCTCAACGGGGGTTCCTCCGGGACGACGTAGCGAAGAAGCACCTGCTTGCGAAGGAAGAAGCAATTTCCGGACAGATCGCTGTCAGCTGGATTCCCAAAGGAAAGCTGTAGAGGGATGGCAGCTTCCTTCCCTCGCAACAAAACGCCGGCAACAAGAGAAGATGCTTGAAATGAATGCTTGAAAGATGTAGAGGAGATGCCTCCATGCCATCCTGCTAAACACAACAACAACAACAACAGAGGTTGCTTGAAATCAGGGTGTGTGGGTGGACGGTTGGGTGGGTGGTTGGGTGGGTAGTTTTAGTTGTGTAGGGGTATCGACAAAAAGAAGAGCCACCATCGCTGCCTTGCCTGCCCTGGGCTCTACCGAGGCGCAGAAGGAAGGAGGAAAGGAAGGGGGCACTTTTTTGCCATCTAAAAACGCAATTGGAAACGGAAGTTGCGTCTGTTATCTGCAGCGTGTGTTTTTTTGACCATGAACCTTTCTGTGGACTTGTGGATTAGCCGTGGTTGGGTTTGTTAGATAGCGGGCTGTATTTGTTTACTTGCATTCGTACTAACATCGTCGGTTGACCTCCACGGTATTTTTTGCCCCTTAAAATCGCCTACTATAGACATGAAATTCCCCGTGCGATCTTGGTGCGTATACACGTGACGTGGTGATCGTACGTTATATATAGATTTTTACCGCGTTTTTTCGTGAGTGTCGATCGATCAAACTCGCACACCGAGTGAGTTACTTAATTGTGATCGGGAATGAACAATTATTTATTCCCGATGAGAGGTGTATGGAGAGTTCGCAATTCGCTCGTCCCACTTGGATTCCGTGTTTTGTCGAACGAATATTAAATTTCCGGCGCCGTTTTTCGCCTAGTGTTTATAGCTCCTTTGGGGGTTTGGGTTTTTTAGGAAGTGGAGAAAAAACAACATAGCAGGCAGCTGGCATTGCGAATCGATGCTAAATGTTGAGTGACAAGCACATTAACGGTCGTAGAGAGGACGTGCGGAGTTCAAGTCATAGCTGTAGGAGGAATGCTTCGGCGTGTGGGTGTGCGTGCGTGCTTGTGTGTGCGTGTGAGATATAGTGATATAGAGTATAGAGTGAGATCGAGTGAGATAGAGTGAGATAGATAGAGATAGAGATAGAGATATAGTGATATATAGTGATATAGTGATATAGTGATATAGAGATATAGATAGAGTGAGATAGTGTGTGATATAGAGTGAGATAGAGTGATATAGATATAGAGAGTGAGTGAGAGGAAGAGATATAGAGAAGAGTGGCAGTACGAGTAGTGAGACAGGGGCAGTGTAGTGAGTTGGAATCGAAAGCAGGGTAGGGGTAGGATGAAGATGTGCCAGGGGGATTAGTGTGCAGAAACTGGGAAGGGGGTAAGCTAGGGAAGGGGTAATGTATAGGGAATGGGGTAAGCTAGGGAATGGGTAATGTATAGGAAAGGGGGTAAGGCAGGGAAGGGGCAGGGTAGTGAAAGGACAGGGGAGGGATGGTCTTGCTGAGAAGCAATATACGTCACAGGCAGTGAAGTTGCAGTTTTATCATGAGGGCTCACCAGGTTTTAGCCTTCTCTTCTCTTCTCTACTCTTCCCTTTTATTCTATTCTAATATATTCTATTCCATTCTATTCCATTCTATAACATTCAATTTTATTCTTTTCTATATTATTCTATTCTATTCTGTTCTATTCTATACTATTCTATCCTATTCTATTCTATTCTATTCAATACTATTCTATTCTATTCTATTCTATTCAATACTATTCTATTCTATATTCTATCCTATTCTATTCTAATCTAATCTATTCTATGCGATTCCATTACACTGTCCTTAATTGGTATTTTCATCTCTTATTTATTCAATTATAATCAGTTTTAATTCCACTACTATATCAACTGTAATTGTAACACATCCTTCGTTTTACGTGCGTAGCTGCCCTATCCCTCAGCGTGTACTGAATCGAGCATAAACCCTATACTGATTTATATCAGAAGTGAATAATAATATCAGGGGTTAATAATGACAAATTTGTCATCATATATATATTTATATATATATCTTATATATCTATTATTATTCATTCCTGTTTATATCTTGTATTTGTAACAAGATCTCCTACATGCTAGAACGTGAATCATTCACCTTTACGCACGGTCTATATAGAGTATAAGCGTTGTTATAGCAGTAGGGGATCTATAGGGGGCGACTGCGTGTGCGTGTGTGTGTGTACGTGGCCGCGAGGAGACGTGTATCATTGTACCGACCCGCTGTCACGTCGTCGTCGCTGTTCGCCCGTGTTCGAGGTTTTACCTTCAGTAGCGGGAGAGAGAGATTGAGAGATTGCTCTCGTGAGCACTTACACGCGTGATGTGCACCGCGCGCACGGAGACACGAGAGATATTAGTCGGCAGAACATAGCAGAACATAGCAGAACATAGCCTCCTTAGATCTGCGTCGGTGAGACGACGGACACCACGATGACATCTACACAGGAAGCGCATCCGCTGCAACAATCGTGTGCGTCACGTGATCGCTCGTGGAAGCAGCAGACGTCGGGAGCCATTAGTGGCGCACTCTGGTGGTATCTAATCTTATCGCGTCAGCGTCGGTTCGTCTGCGTATAACCGGATAGAGAGCTGAGAAGAGAAACCTTGATCACGATATCGTCGACACCGCTACGGCGCCGCCTCCCATTCCTGTTGTCAACAGGAAAGCTTTCAGACGAAATCTTGTCCTCGACAGCGGATTTTTTTCTCGGCGGGCGAGGGGGGGG